GCGTTGCGCGAAATTCAAACACAAACAATCTATATTTGTAGGTTATCTTCCCTTTCTTTTCTCTATTTCCTGTCATTGGTTGCTATCTGGCCAGCTTTGGGATTGAACCTTTTACATTCTGTTCACTGTTTAGTTCCCCATTTTCGCGTTTTTGTTTTGTTTTTTTTGTTGTTGTCTTCTCTTACACTTTCTGTATGCCTACATCTTTTATCTGAGGCACTTCTTAATGCTTCTGATGGCTTTAGTAGACATTTGGTCCCTTTTCTATTTGACCTTTTCCACTTCTCTTTCCCTCCTTACTTTATTCCCCTGCTTTTTGGACTCATTGTGTCAAGTTACATTCCTCTTTACAGTACCCTCTTCCTTCCTCTTGTGTATTTATTATTCTACTGGCTCCCTTTCATAACCCAGATTTTTTCAGTGATATCCCTTTCCCACTGGTGACCTGGTCTGATGTTATACAACTTCTTTCCTTGTTATCTTCCTGGATTTTTTTCCTTTTTCTCGACACCATACTCTTTACTCCTATTTCTTGTCTAGATCAGTCTCCTTCCCAACATTTCATTCCAGATTCCAGGCCTTCCTCAATTTTTCTTATCATCTCTTCCCTCTACCAGAAGTCTTGTTTCTCACACTTGTTGTAAGTGACTATCACACAGGTATATTTCCGTGGGTACCTTTCTCTTCTCTCATTGGTCTAAATTTCTGCCACCAGTCATTTTTTATTTCTCCACCTTAGTCTTTTTCCTCCTCTATTCACTGTTTTTCATGTTGTCTTTTCTCCTCCCTCCAACCCCATCTACAGACTTTTTCATTTAGTCTGTGGTTGTTTATGGCCGATGTGTCAGGTACTTCCCTACGTGTTTCTTTTGGCTTATCCTCACTTTATTTTCTCTGTCCTATCTTTCTTTTTTGCATTTTCCCATTCATTGCTCTTGCCTTCGAATCATCTTGTATTCATTGGTATCGTGACGGTTGTTGCTTGACATATTCATCACCCAGGGCTGGCATCCTTTGCTTTATTTATATCTCTCTAATTGAAGTACATTTTTCATGAGGATGGACTTCACATCAATGTGCTCAACCTTCTCTCTCTCAATTGGGCATGTTCCCATTCCTGCTCCTACTGATGGTTCATTTGGTCATGTTCCACCCATCCTATTCCATGGACTTTTCATGCTCCAACCATTCTTTGGGCTGCTGTTCCAGGTTATGTTTGTTTGGGACATTAAACATACAATTCTGAGCCCATTCACATAGATTCCAGCCCATATTCTATCAATGGAATAGCCTCTACACCCCCTAGATCTTTGGTGGGATTTACCATTCGTTGGACGTGTCCATCTTGGATGATCTTGTCACCCCTTCTCCACTAGTTGTTTCCTCCCTTACAGATCTCTATTCCTCTTCTTTTGCTCTGGCTGTCATTTTTTCGACCCATTCTTGTCTTACCTTTTTCTCTATACCTATTACCCCATTTGTCTCTTTGTTCTTGGCCTCAGATTTGGATACTACTATCCCTCTTGGGCTCTTTTGTTGGTGCTTCTCTGCCCATCTTTTACCTGCTTGATTGTCTCATCCCCTTTCTCTCCTAGTTATTCCTTCTCTCTCTCTTGCTTCTCCCTTTCACACTTCCCTTCTTCGTAGAGAAATATTCTCTCTTCACTCTCACATATGGAATTTGCCCAATCTGTCACCTATTGGGCTGGACTTTCCTCTAATGTGGCATTATTCTTGTCATCATTCCACTGTATATGTCTCTCACTATCTGTTGCAGGTCGTTTGTCATTGGTCCTTCTGCCACTCTTTTACTCCTGGCAATAATTCTGTG